GGCTCAGCTCCGCTGTGTGTGTGTATGTTCGGTGTGTATGTGTGTGTCCAAAAACGGCATTTGTTTTCAAATTACCATGAACAGTAATTTACACACATCTGGCCAACTCCATAGGTATGTGGGTGTTCCCAAAAGAAGTTAGTTTAATCTTAATCTCGATGTAGTGCTAAATGCTGTCGGAGTGCACCGGAACGAACGCCCCCGGTATGACGTTATTATGGCTGGCAAACAAGCCCAGGGGTCTCACTGACATTTCAGTTAATCAATATGTGTACAGTGGTCCAAATTTGTTTTAATTGTATCCTGGTTTTAAACTTTGTTAATATGTTTTGGATGCATATTGTTCTATTATTTGATGAGGCTGTTACATACAATTAGCCACTGTTGCCACCTATATTAGGCTATATTACATTATATTAATATTTGTAAAGCGGTCTTAATTTTTGTTTTAATTGTATCCTGGTTTTAAACGTTGTTAAATTATGTTTTGGATGCATATTGGTATTTCTTCAGGCTGTTAAATACAATTAGCCTCTGTTGCCACCTGCTGGTGAGTAAATATTAAAATCTGTTAAAATTGACAACCAGTCCACGAATTTCTTTTATTGTTTCTGCCGGTCCTTGGCACAATAAAGGTTGGGAACCCCTGTACTACATGGTTTCAAATATATTATATCAGCAGTAAACCTAAAAAGCAAAATTCATGTTTAAACTCTATACTGTGATTTATTTGATTATATTATTTTTAATGCTGTCAAAATTATCGCGTTAACGGCGGTAATTAATTTTTTGAATTAATTGCGTTAAAATATTTAACACATGTGCAGAATGGCCCTCCCCATACATCCCACCAGTGGCAGCGCTGGGGTAGGCTACAGCCATACCAAGAAATGGCTTAGCCCCACCTTAGCCCCACCATGAAAAATGATGTTAAAGTAAGCAAAATAAAGTCCGACAACTCGCACGGAGTAAATTGCACAGACAGCAGAGTAAGATTGATTTCAGTTGCCACTTGTCTGGACATACCGAAGACTAGAAACGGTTTTGAAAACTTTTGTCACGTAGTGATCGTCTTCTCAATAGAACATCTTTGATAATGTCTTCTGGCCAATCAGAATCAAGATAACGGCGTGGTGTTGTTGCAGGAAGTCCC